AGTGATGCTCCTTCCACGGCTTAATATTCATTGTGGCTTTCTTCAGCCACTCTAGTGTCACGTCGTCATCGCAAACCACTCTGATGATTTCACCAGAGTATGTCCACGACTTGAACGTGAGCGGTTTGCTGTTGTTGCTGGAGGCGGAGAAGATGATCTTGTCTAGTTCCTCCAACAGTTGTTTTTTGATGAGACTCTCTCGTTCTGCGGTAACCTTACCGTACGGGTTAGTCTCATCTATGATAGCTACCTTGAGGTGTCTCAAGGCGGTCTCCACGAAGGTTTTGGAGGGTGCAGCGACAATACTGTCGCTGCGCGGCTTCTTCAACCTTCTTGCGGTTTCCTCCGTGGAGGTACTGGTGTTAGGGCGCTTTCCTGCAGTGGCAGCCGGTTCCTTGCCTTTTTCCAAGGCGGAGCTCTTGGCGCCCGCCGCAAGAGATGCCCTTGTTGTTGGAGATGGAGTGGGAGAGGGGGAGGTTACACTCATAGTTGCTGCCACTCCTGCCTCCTTCGCTCTCTTTCTCCTCTTGGCCTCGACGCCACTAATACGCTTACGCCTCGGCCTCTGCGTTACATCGAGAGGTGATCTGCTATGTCCAGCCCCATTCTGAGCGGTAGCTTGGGGTGAACATTTCTCTTCATCCCCAGCCCCCGCCCTAAATTGAGGTGAGCATTGCTGTCCAGCCTCGGGATTTGTTGTTTTTTTATTCTGTTTTGGTTGTTTTGTTTGTGTGTCTGTGTTCATGTGTGTTCCCACGAGTAGCAAGGAAGGGTTGTTCACCTCTGGCAGAGATCCGCATTACCAGAGGAAGGCTGATTAAAATGAGGCTTCGCCCAGTTCCTCAAGGGGATCGTTCGTAACCGCATATCACCCTGCAGCCATTCAGCTGTCGGTACGATTCCTTACACCTTAGCTTGGGTAGGCTGGTCCGCGGTGGCATGCTTTGCAGGGCTTTTGGGGGGTTTTAGTTCCCCTCACCCTACTCATTTCTGCCACTGACCAGGAGTCCGGCAACCCCGTCCGTAAGGCCGCATTGGCTTCCCGGAAAGGGTCTCCAGTTCCCTGGCCGTTCCCCTATCCGCCACCTGGGGACGCGCCCGATAGGTAGCCCAACCCACGGTATCATTTCATATCATATTTGACAATGAAGTCCGAACTGATGAAATACGTTATTGAGAATTTATCAAAATTGTGGGATCCGACACCACACACGGTTAAAATCTTAGCAAATTTTCGATACGCTAATGCGCATCAACAAATATGGTGGGACCCCGTACTTCAGTGCCTTGTGGGGGAGTACATCATTGCGAACAATATTTTTTTGTATGCTATCAGAATCAGTTTGCTATGATGGAAGGAGACACAGTTATGTATCAAAAATATGGTTTGAATACATCATGAGAATTGTTTATGAAATTTAGTAAATTTAAATGCTCGATTACTTTGTTTCACATAGCTCCAAGGCAGTATAATCTTATATAATTCTAAAGAGAATGTATCATTAGAAAGTTGACTGGAGATAATGTTTGAGTAGAACGTTGTTCAAGTAAAATGTGGTGATAAATTCAAACAATAAATATGAAAGGACAATTCATTTAGAGATCAGCACTTCTTTAATATACATCAGAATAAACTGTGCTGTTCTCCCGATTATTTATTTTTTCATTTCACTTCAGATGGATCTTGATGCTGTCATTCTGTTTCGATTGTAGAGAAGAAGATTCCGAAAGCGGTTATAAAGTTGCAGATTTTGATCATAAATGAACGACAAAAAATTTATTCAGCGAGGATAGTTCAAAGTAGTTTTCGGAGAGACAATCATCCTTGAATTGGGAAAGAACGTGGTGTCTTCACCTTAAAGAGTCAACGGTGATTACAAACACCATATTGCCAATTTTACTCCGGAAAAATACACTATTGCCTTTAGACGAAACAGAGACTTGTGCAAACATTTATCTGCTATATCGATTGAAATTATTGAATTGTAAAGATGAGTTAGTTTTTTCATGAATAATAGGTGATACATCGTGAATGAATTTGAAGAAACAATATCTAAAATATATGGAACGTTGAAATCAATCAAAGAAAATTCAGCTGAAAAACTTGAAATCGAAGCGATAAATCAACATATTAGAGTGTGTGATAAAGCTATGAAAAAATTAAAACTCAAAGTAGGTGAGAAAAATGAAATCTTAAGGAAAATTTTACAATTGAAACGACTGAGATGTTTACTCATGATGAAAAATGAAAATGTAGGTTTGAAGAAGGAGCGTTAGGTTTGCTGGAAAGTTGTTGATTCTTATATTAATAACAGAGTGAAAATGAGTGAATGAGTGTCATCATCAATGTGAAACATGAAGCAACGAAAGCTTTTTTGGCTGAAGGATTAAATTTGTTCAAAAAAATCATCAAAAAATTCTGAAGACAATGCCATTTCTCAAAGTGAATATCACTCTCTGTAGTGATTTTGTGAAACAATCAAGTGATGAGGAAATAATTAGTCAAATATATTTTGTCACACCAAATGTAGTTTTGAATTAGGGAACGGATCTCATTGTGTGGTATCCAGAAAATGTCATTGATTACATCTTAAATGAACTGTCAGAGGTCTCTGAAGAGTCAATCGGTTGGGCATCATTGGGCATTATAGAAAATCTTGCTGTCAGAAGTAACTATGAACAATTATGAAACTGACAATGGAACCTCATTCATTAAAATACCACCACAAATTTCGAGAAAACAAGCATGTATCAATATTCGATATTATGAAGAGGCATGCTTTTTGTGGAGTGTACTTAGCGCTTTATATCCACCCACAGGAGGTTATCGACATACAAAATTATATCCCCCATATAATTTTATATTGAATACCGAAGGTTGAGAAATGCCCATGAAAGTGAATCAAATCAATAAATTTGAAAAACTGAATAATAGTTTCATGAATGTTCATGCGTTGGAATTGAATATTGATAAAAATAATGTGCATGTGTGAGGTTAACTCAAAGTGAATTAGAAAATCATGTCAATTTGTTTTATCATTAGTTCGGAATTCCATTGTCTAATATGATATAAATTGATTTGAAATACCTGAAAGATTCTGTGACAAATTAATAAAGAGATTAGCTGAAAAATAACAATTATATTGAGCAGAAAACTGAAATTACAATGAAATAAATTACAAACAACAACAAAAAAATTAAGCAATCAACACGAGATGAAAATTTAAAGTTATTACCAAGGAATTGAAATAAAAAATTAAAAGAACCCAAACCAAGTTACTACACGACGTTTGGATTATTAGTATACACAATCGTCTTCGGGTGTTAACTGGACTTATTTCCCCGAGATCTGACTATTTAAAGATTATTAGAGTGGTTTCACCTATCCCCTCTTTCCTTCCTCCGCTTCATCGAATTTAGCTGAAGCTGACTGATTCATTTATTTGACTGCTATATCAATTATTCTCAAGTGAATAAAAATGAAGAATATAGTACAGTTTGTGAAAGATGAAATACTCAATATTGAGCCAATGATCAAAAAACCAAAAATCGTGAATTTTGGAACTCTTCACATTCGGGAGAAAATTTTCAGAGTTAATAATATCATCTTCAGAGACCACTATCATTTCACGGTATGATTCCGAGGCTTTGCGCATCGAGAGTGCAACATTTTTTTTGAACAACTCTGTACCGGTTATTTTTTATAATATGTCAAATTATGACTTCCACTTCATACTTGAAAATTCAGCCAAAAGAAAGTTCTCTGAGCGTGTTTCCATTGACAAAGAGTAATATATTTCCTTCACTCTCAATGATTGTGATAGTAGAATGAAATTTAGGTTCATAGAATCTTTCAGATTTATTGGTGCAAGTTTTGAACAAGTATCCAATATAAATAAGAACAATCTTCAAAAGTTCAAGTCTGAATTAGAAGATTCAGATGATGAAACATTCATACTATTGACTATGATGTATTATTTCCCTACGATTATTTGAATAATGTGGAAAAATTGAATGATCTTCAACTTCCGCTAATTGAAAAATTCTACAATGAATTGAATAATGTAGAATTATATAGAGAAGACTACATTCATGATCGAAATGTATGAGAATAATTCAAAATGAAAAGTCTGACAGGGTATAGGTATAGTTATGAAAACTGATATTTTGCTACTTGCCGATGTGATGCAAAATTTTGGAGAAACTGCTTTGAAAATGCATGGTTTAGGTTCAAAGTGAGTGGGTCTATTCAACCCTCCACCGCAAAGCGCAAGGGTTTATTGTGGTTCACACCTATTCCCACTCGGCCACTCGGTTTATATTGCGAGTGGTCTTCCAGGTCAGATGGTGAGAGTACGGCTCTGCCGAACTCAAAAGACCTGATTCGGTCCACAGCGGGGCAGGCACTAAGTATATGCTCTGTTAATGAGGTAGTCCGATAGACAAGTTGCAAGATTCCCACCTTGATACCCACGACAACCTTCCCATATGAGGGTTTCTGCACGTCAGCTACACATGACGACGCCTAAGATTCAGCCGTGCAGGGCTTTTTCGCCCATGGTTTTGGTGGAACCTCACTTGAGCGCGAGCGTTTGCTAACCTGCTCATGGGGGGTTAGTTCCCACACCTGAGAAAGTTTCTGCGTACGCCACAGATCTCGCCTGCTGAACTAAATTTGCAGAGAGGTCCGTTGAGTCGTGAACTCGACATCCATCTCCTCTGTAGACTCGCTCCTGAACTTAATTTGAAGGGAAGTCAGTACTGAATTCACAGGGAGGCCCGTCGGAGTCGTAAACTCAACATCCATCTCCTCTGGAGACTCGCTCCTGAACTAAATTTTGTAACGTAATAATTACTGCAGATTTACCATGCTAGTGCAGTGGAAATTGGAGTGGTGTCCTTTGGACTAACTTGCCAGTTTCAGATTTTTTTTGGTGTCAAGCAAGGTTCTTGAAATTGAATTTTGGCTGGACGCCAGAATTTTTTGTTTTTATAAATGTATATGAAATATAATAAAATAAATATGCAATCATAACAATGAATTGTACATAAATGCAATACAATATTTACAGAGGTACCTGTTAGTTCTTACAATAGTAGACTGCACCCAGTTCGGTGTAGGTTGTCTTGTATTCGTCAGCGTTCAATATATAGGGCTTCTATATTCACCCTTGTACCTTTTTGAGAACGGAGCATCGACCTTGAAGACCAGTTACTGGTTGGGGATCTCAGTAGGGCTGATATGTTCACCCTTGTATCCCTTGGAAACTATAACTTGAAGGTGAGTAGCTCAGGTATATATACAAATATATATGATTGAAACAGGTTATATATACAAAATATTACAAATGCAAGTAAATTAAAGCAAAAGAATATTCACACAAAGAAAACTTTGTTTATAGAAATAAAATATCAGTTAACGTGACAGTGCGTTCCAAGAAAGAGATAATCAAATATATTTTTCAATGTCTAAGCAGTTCAAGTTTTAAATAGATGAGTATTGAGTTCAAGGTATTTCATTCGATTTAATTGAATATTTTTAAAGGTGAAGATAATACAGGGAAACGTGAGATCCAGATGAGATAAGATAAGTTATATTTTCACAATTATCACTGGACCTGACGGCTCAAAAGTGACTCTGGGTGAGATCCGACACACAATTATTGATTTATGAATTCACAGAAAACGTGTGTTCCAATACTCACCCATAATCGTCTCCAGCCTTAATTATCTAATATATATATCTCTAATATATATATTTTCCCAGCAGGAACAACCTTCAGCTTCTATTCCGGACAATATAATTTGCGATCCTTTTGGAACTTCACTAGTCATGCAGCCAAATGCTGTGAAAATAGAGACGCAATCAAATTCTTAAAAATCAGAAATTTTCGCTTCACGAAATTATGAAAGCTAAATAGATATGTCCCTCACGATAAATGATCTCACGATACTCGTGAACGGAAGATATATCCACTCAAATACTGAAGGATTACAAAAACAAGTCGAAATATCGATTGCATGAAACCATGCATATCGCCATTTTTTGATAACCCAAAATTAAGATAATATTTCTAGGAACACTTCTATCACGTACCTGTTACTCAGTTCAAACAATGAACACTTCATCAAAAACGGAAAAAGGAAGATTAGATCGATATATTCAAACAACGCAATCAATTCAAGTGATCAATTCATCAATTGATGTTGCTTCGACCATCGTCAAAAAGTAAGCGAGCGGGCCCACCAGTCCCTTTGAGAAATATTGAATTCGTTCATACATATTTTATTCTACCTACTGACGCGAACTTGAAATTGCGTTCTGTAAAAATATAAGTGTTGTAGGTTTCATTGATTGATGATTCGGCTATCTTCCGCAAGATGCTCTGGCAGATACGAAATCATTATTATTGTTTTACTCTTGGTCACTAGATAGGGGGCTCATATTTATGATAAATTCAGTTATTATAAATAATGTAACGTTCAACCGTTACATATCTCCCTTCCTCCCCAAAAAAATTCAAAGTAGAGCTTTGGAATTTTTGCTTATTCTTTTCATACTTAATATAAAAAAAAACGTAAATTATAGCATTTAATAAGCTGAAACTCTACTCTCAAAACACTAGACAGGTTGAATGAAAGAAAGCAAAAGAAAAAGAAAGATGCAATGTTTGGTAACTCCCAGGCAAGGACACAGCATAGCCAGAAGGTGTCACGAACAATCTGGTCTGAATGCCCTCTTCGCTGCTAGATGTTAATAGCTGCACCGGTGAGAACATCCAGTTCTCCCAGAATACTTGGAACAACCACCAACCACGCCAAAACCAGATCAGGAAATTCCCAGACTGTGCATCTGTGGTGAAAAAAAGGAAAGGTTATAATATTGATTTAACCAGTTGTCACCTTCAACTGGGGTAAGATATAGCACTACCAGACTGAAACAGTGAAACTTCACCGAAATATAATTGAAATTTTCGGAATACCCCCATTTCTTCCCTGGCGCTGTGTACAAGTCCTCAGCTGCAACGGATCCATGGAGCTCAGGATCCCCCAGTAGCATTGCCTGGCCGCCCTTAGGCGGGCTTCACACGCTGACCGGCCTTGACCTCCGCGCTAGCACAGACAATACCCCCCAAGATCACCCTTTTAAGGATGCTGCACACCTGAGCGATGCTCACACCCCGCCAGAGTGAGTCCCTATGACAAAAAAATGGCAAAAAATTCTTGAAGAATTGTTCCTTGTTTTTACAGGAAAAGGGTAAAATTTCCAAATAATTCCTTCATTAGAGTATCTATTGCGGGATATGTAGTTAAATTGGGAAAAGATATAGGGAAATAAATTTAAGACATTAAAGAATTGGAACTGTTAACCAAAACTCTGCGGCAAACAAGTATAGTCAGAATATATCAATATGAACTATCTGAAACAACCCCTGCTCCCAGTAAGCGATTTACTTCCTGAAATCGATAATTACTATAGAAACACACATATACCAGGCAATTTGAGCTGTCATATCTCAAAGATAAGTTAGGTACTTATGTGCAAGATATATTTCAGGAATTTAATTTCTGAAATCGATTATTACTATAGATACACACATATACATTGTGTGGAACATTGGATCATTGGAAGTCCTTCTAAATTGATAAAGATATATAGAGCAAGTTCTGTTGACCCCTTATGATTTAAAATTTATACTCTTATTTGAACTATATTATCTCATCTGAACTCTTTGAGCAAAGGCCTCGGCTATTAACTAATATGTCTTTTGATGAAATTCGCTTGACCAAAGGATGTTTTCAATTATCAATTTTAATTTTGAAAAAGGTGAAAATTTATCTACTTATAGACAACAAAAAGTAAACATACATACATACCTTCAAAATATGACTGTCTATTCAAAATCTGTTCTCTATGGAAAACAAAACCAATGCATTTGGAACCTTTCTCCATCAGATCTGTCGCAATGGTTTGTCAGGCCGCCTAAAATCATTTTCTTGTGTGATAGTGTCAATTTTGCAACAACTACTAGAAAATTCATTTGAATTACATGGCAGAAGATAACTAATATAATGTGTATGAAATGCTCAAGGCAAGTACCACATTCATTTAATAAGAAGTCATATCATCTCCGTCTAAATAGTTATCCAATTACTTACCAATTAATATGTTACCATTATTTCAAACATTGAAATGGATCTCATAAGCATCCATTGAAAGATAGGCATATGCCATCGCGAACTTTTCATGTAAATTCATAAAATAACAATATCTAGAGAATTGTTTTGTTATATGCTAAAGGGTAGCGTTTTCGATGCAGGCTCTTAGTCTGAAGTCATCTCTCGAGGGTCACTCTATACATAACAGAAAGTGCTAATAAACAACAAAGTCGGATATGACATAATAAAATGGAAAAAAATGCTGTCTGGTGTCAGTGACCAAAAACTGTCCACGTTAATATGGATTTTCTTTTCATCAGTTCGGACTTCCATTGTGTAATATATAAATTGATTTGAAAACCTTCAAAAAATTTAAAAATGAAAAGTATTGACTGAAAATAACAGTTTTATTAAACAAAAAAACTGAAATCACAAAGAAATAACATACAAGCAACTACCAAAACAAATAAAAAAAAATTAAAAAGTATAAAAAAATGAAAAATAAAAATTAAAAGATTTCAAACCAAGTTATGTCACGACGTCCAAACATGCTCTGCTATTCCGGATTTGCTGGTTTCTCTTCGCTGTGTGTGTGTTTCTTGTGCTCAGTAATGTGAACTTTCACTGGCCTCTCAGTTTCACCGATGTATGATTCTTCCGGTAAATGCAATTCTTGGAATCGCAGTCCGCGTTTGGTGGCCTGGTTTTCGTGAGGCTGCTACGGATAGTGTTCCCAGATCTGAAGCAGGTCATGATGTTATACTTGAACCCAATCCTTCTTATTCTTTTCGATAATCCTCAGATGTATGGAAATACAAGTACTGGTTGTGGCGGCTTCTCGTCCTTGTGGAGTTCTTGCTGTCTTCTAGCTAAGGCCTGTTCTACCATCACTCTGGAGTAACCATTTCGTTGAAGGTAATTTTTGATAATGCCTAGTTCCTTTTCGAGACCTTCCTTTGTTTTACAGAGCCGAAAAGCACGGTCTAGCAAAATCTTGATGATTCCCCTCTTAGTCGATTGATGGTGGTTGGATGTCTGGTTCAGATACTCTCCTGTGTCAGTGGTTTTTCGATATACAGATGTTTCCTATTCGGTGTCGGTCCTCTTCACCAATACGTCTAAAAAAGGCAATTCGTTGTGGACTTGCTACGGATCCTGTTTCTCTAAATTTCGACATTATCCTTGACATATAGGTATGTTGAACATTTTTCCTGGATGCCGTTCATTAAAAATATTAGCTACTTGCCGGTATGGTGTATTCTTAGGGTCGATTCAGTAAAACTTTTTGGTCCGTGATTCCCTGGACTATTACAATTTCTGAGAATCGGTGAAGGTATTTTTCACAAGTTTTTGGTTTGAATATCGAAATTCCTGCATCAGTATCCATTAAAATTTTGAAGGTATTCGAGAGGTCTTTGATATGGTATAAAGTGAAGTGAACTTACATGAAGCGTTGATCCGGAAAATTCTGATCGTGGTGACAATCTTGTATGTTCATTGATTGGATTTGAGTTTGATTGTCTGACGTTATGTCTTGTGATCGATTGAAATTTGGAAAGTGGTGTTGTGTAGGGAGTGAAAGAAAATCCTGGTATCCTGATATATTTGGATTGTTCACCTATTGGTCGTATTGGTCTTTTTGGTCATATTGATCGTATTGATTGTATTGTTCAAGTTGTTTTCGTGGGTATTGGCTACCAGCTATATAGTAGTTCTCATATTCTGAGTTATAGTCCTGAAGAGAATGTGCATCTTCATATTCAACGCAATGTATTCTTTGTAGATTTAAGTTGGGGTTGCGTTGAATCACTGAGGGACGATTCTGGTTTTGATTTTGATTTGGCCTAGATGGGGTATTTTGGAATTGCAGCCTTTGTTGATTGGTTTGAAAGTGAGGTCTTTGTTAATTATTTTGAAAATTCGTTCGAGCGCGGTTTTGTTGGGGGAAAATTAGGTGTAGAAAATTCGTGTTTTGAAAGAAATTTGCGTTATTTCGTTGTGATCGTTGTCTATGGTGGCATTCGTTCGACAAATTCCCAAAGCGTTCACAAAAGTTACATGTTCTTGAAGATTGAGGTTGTTAGGGTTTTTTTGGGGATGTTGTTTATCGGTTGGTTGTGTTGGTCATGTTTTTGGTTTTCGAAATACGAAAGCTGGAGTTCTCTCCTGATTTGCATATGTGCTTCGAGCATATCTCTGGGATTTCCAACGCGGGGGTTCAAGTCCGGTAAGTGTATTCGATGTCATAGTTTCGATGAGTCTCGATTGAGCTGTTTCTTGATCGGCAGTGGGAGTAGATTTTTTAATACAAGCGTGCATTTTGGCGTTATGTACATGTAATCTGTTAGAGAATATGAACGCGGTTTCGTTTGGTAGTTGTTTTAGTCTTTGAAGATCTTGTATTGAGGAGGTGAGATCTCGGGTATCACCAAAGTTTAAATTCAGTAGGTGTTTAATTTCCTGATAGGTTTCGGAGTTTCTAGAGCTTGTAAGTTGGGCGAAGTTTTTTTTTATTGTGTATTGTTAAAAGATTTCTTTGATCGCGAATTGACATTTGGTACGCACTACGCACAATCACAAGCATTTATAAATGTAGTTGAAAATATTTGATCTTCTTTAAACTCAAGGACGATTGAAAATATCTTTGACAATTCATATGGTTCTATTTCAGGGATAAGTTCAGGGATCGATTAATTCAGCCATATCGCTCAATTAATCGATTCACTGGACTATAATAAATCATTAATAGCAATACTCAATACCTCTTTGGGGTTAATTGATAATTTGATAAATAATCTATGCAATTATCAACAATTGGATCTATCAATAAGCCAATAATCAATCAGTACGATTATTGCAGTGAAATAAAATTCAATACAATAAACGAGATGGATCTTTGTTAACTTACAGTATATATTTCATAGGTCATTCATCTTGTTTTCGAAGTTTTCCACCAGGGGCTTCACTAGGTGTTCCTTCCGTGGTTTTCTCCAAGTGAAGACGACTCGAATTCTCTTGGTTCTCGCTTCCTAGTAGGGCTTGTTTCTTTGTTTCATTGAAGGATTGGAATCCACCGCTACTAGTTAGAATTTTCTTGTTCTAGCAACGCAACGTGCAGGAATACGCACGACTGCTCCAATTTGTTATACCTTGTTTTTCACAATTCACTTTTTGAAAATTGGTTTATTTCTGTTGGGGTTCGTGAATCAAGCGGACTGACCTACTGTACTCTTATTTTCGTAGAAGAACTTTATTGTGTATGTTAATACATGAAAATAGAAAACTGATAAAATATAATAAATATAAAGTTATACACACTGACAATCAACAACTTCAACTATTGTTACTATCCAGAAAAATTGACGACTACAAACTATTCAATATCAGAAATCATATACAGTGTCACAAATAATGAATTGATAACTCAACACTCCCACTAATTCAGTATTTGAGAACAAATAACACTCAGTTTATGCTGATAAATTGTTTTCCATTCCCATCAGGTAACGAAATTTTTCAAATTTCTCCCTTGTTAGCGCTTTTGTGAATATATCGGCTATTTGACCGTGAGTGTTGATATTCACTGGATCGATGTCAACAAATGGGCACCGCTGGGCACTCGCCATCGACAACCCTATTATCAATTTTCGATGCATCGACAGAGACGATACGAACAAGCAGTTGTCATTGAGATGCGTGTACTCTCTGTCTCGAGAGATAGCGTCACAGGGCTACCCCACAGGCGGAAGCAGTACGACAATCATTCGTGTCATGTGGAGTGAAGATGTGAGGTGTTGTGATCGTGTTGGGTGGTTGGTGTATGTGCGTGTGTACTATATGCAAACTAGTTTGCATAGACGTCATAGTGTTGTGGCCTGGGGTGTGTGTGAGGTTGTGTACTAGTGCGGGTATTCATGCATGGCTGGAACTTTGTAGAGTGTAGATGTGAGGTGTAGTGGTCGTGTTGATGAATGTTGGGTGGTTGATACATGTGTATGTGCATTTTGTGCAGGTGTGGTGCTTGTGTTGGTGTATGTGTATGAAAACTTTATGCAAACAAGTTGGCAAAGACGTCATAGTGTTGTGAGGGGTATGTGTTGGAGGGTTGGGGGATTTGGGGAGACTTGAGGGGTTTGGGGGAAACTTCAACATTTCAAATAAGCTAACAAAAACCAGTGCGGGCTTCATTCGTGGCTGGAACGTGGAAGTGTGAGGTGAAATGATCGTGTTGGTGAATCTTGGTGTGTGCGTCTATGCAAACTAGTTTGTATAGAGTACAAAGGATTATGCACCACTTCGTGAAGGATTATGCTCCGTGTATGCAACCTATTCTTCATATGAAGGATATCTTTACCGTGCGTGTACTCAGTACAAGATAGTTTGTACTTAGCATACATCCATTTTCAGCTATGCACTAGACATACTTGTCAAGGTCATAAGTATGCACCAGACATATTTTTCAAGGTCACATGCATCAGATATATTTTTCAAGGCCACAACTATGCACGAGCCGATCTAGGTCACCCTAATTGCACCACTTGTTATTAATGATGTCATAGTGGTGGAGGAAGGCTTAGAACCGGCTCAAATCTGCTTCTAAACCGTTTGACATGAAAATGTTAACACTTTTTTATTTTGAAGTTTTCAGTTTCTAATTTTGTTACTCAATTCTTCTTATTCTGTTTTGTTCATTTAGTTCCTGAGTACCGTAATTTGGGGTGACTACGAACGTGTCCGGTTAATACGAACACTTGGCTGTTGTTTACAATTTTCTCCGTCTGGAGCGAAATATTCAAGTATCACCCACTAGTTTTTTTTGTGAACTGAGAGGAAACAGTCGAGTGGATACTTCTGTGAAGTTGAGATGTTTACTTACTAGTGAGTATAACATAGGTTGATATGTGAATCCCGACGGCTCATTTATACATTTCTCGATTTGCCGCAAACAAACTATTGTAATTTTCATTTGTGATCTTGTAACAACTTTAAAGTTAGTTTACGTGATCACTCATGTCGAGAACTGTTATCAATTTTATCACGATATTAGGAAAAGTGGATTTTTCAGAAATTATCAAACAAAATGTATCACTTACAGTGGGGTGAATTCGAACATGGTACGAAAACATAAAGCACGGCTTGCGGCGTGCAGTATGGAAATTATTCTTCGGTTTCTCTGGAAAGGGCAATGATTGCCGTGAAAGACAAAAGAAAGACATATAGAAGGGCTGCAGAGGTGTGTAATATACCAATTGCTACACTGTGCAATAAAATTGAGGGAATTCACCCAGCAACTCCCGGAGGACAAACAGCTCTGAATGAGGAAGAAGAACTGAGCCTTTCACAGAAAATACAGAAGGTGGCAGAATGGGGGTTTCCTCTCACTAGAGCAGATATCTGAGTTTTGGTCAATAAATTCCTGGAAAGTAAGGGGAAAACAATAAAAACTTTCAAGGATAATGTACCTGGTCTCGATTGGTTTACAATTTTTTGAAGAGACATCGTTCTTCGACTGAACGTGTCTGTCAAAATATAAAGTGTTGCCGGGCCTAACTGAGCCCAGTCGTTATTAATGATTATTTTGTCAACCTATCACGAAGCATCGAAAATGTCCTTTCATCATACATTGTGAATTATGATGAGACCAATCTTACAGACGATCCAGGTAGAGCAAAAGTGGTTTGTAAGAGAGGAACAAAATATGTCAACCGCATATTGGACTCAAGTAAATCAAGTACATCAATAATGTTAGCCGACACTGCTTCAGGAAAAGTTCTGGCACCATATGTCGTCTACAAGGCATCCCATTTATATCCCACATGAACAGAAAATGGCCCTGATGATGTTGTCTACAAAGGACTAAGAGCGGCTGGTTCGAAGGATTTATATACGAAGACTGAGAAGATCGCACTGCCATATTTCAAAAAATGTGAAGGCAAAAATATTCTGTCATCTTTCTATTCGAGTGATAGAATTGTGTGAGCAGAATAATATTGAGTTCATCGTTTTACTATCCAATGCAAAACATTTACTCCAACTATTAGATGTTGCCTCTTTTGCTCCGTTTAAAAATATTTAGCAGAACATTTTGACGGAATGGAAATAAAAAAATAAAGGAGTGCTGCCGATATTAAAGATTCCAAAGTTGCTGAAGAGACTTTTTGATGAGGCTGGAGTTATTGCTGCAAACAATGTAATCAGGATTCAGAACCTGTGGAATAGTTCTTTGCAATCGGGAGAGTAATCTGAAGAAAATACGTAAACCTACTGAAGAACAAATAGCGCAACAGGAAAGGCAGGTTGATATTGATCAGCGATGGTCATTGACATTCGTCAACTTCATGCAACAATCAAGAGCACTAGAAAATAAATGAGCAGTGAGAAGAGGCAAAAAGATTGATGTTGCAACAGGCAACGGAATAACGGCACGTGGAGATGAGATAGATCATCCACATGATTCTGTTTTTCAATGTGAGAGAGAGCAAAACGACGAAAATGTTGCCCCGACTGATGCATCATCGAACGAAAATTTAGAAGGCCCTCTTCAGAATTTGAAGATAGAAGACTTCGTCCTGGTTGAGTTAAGATGCCCTAAAAATGAGGATAAATATTATCTTGGGAAGATTACAGATATTTTCAATAACTAGCCTGATCTAATTTTGATAGATTTTCTAAGACATAAAAAAAGTGAAAAAATTAATTATTTCCATTATCCGGATGTTCGAGATGAGTTTCTGGTGTATGAGGAGGACGTTATAATGAAGCTGAAACCACCAATGAATCTCAGATTATATTATTGAATAAGTTTTCATGTGTACCTATTTATATTTTTTGTGTGTATGATATAAATCAAAAGGGGAAAATTCGTGGACAGAACACTCGAAAAATAGGGGTAAACCGCGGACACGTGCATATGTGAAGTTTTTCATTTTTGGTAACCAGTTGTTGTCCATCTTTGCAATTGGCTGCACCGCGCTGATGAGGCCAATAGCCAGAAACACGTGTCCGCGGTTTGCGTAATCTGAAAGGGCCTTTGTTTTATTGTGTAGCAGTTCCAGTAAGATTTAATCGGACCTTTCCACTTGTCCACTGTCCAATTCAGTGAATGTTTTGAAGGTGAATATTGTTGATTTCTATATTTAGTTGTTACTGAATAATTGAGTGAAATTTCAAATATTATTTCGTATATAAGATGTCTGCTTTCATGTTATCCTATTTTTTTTCATCATCCTGGACACTTACATTTCTCATTTCACATAATAGGTCACTCAAATTCATTTTGATAGTAATAACTTTCTATATTTTATCGAAAGGAGTTTTCCAGAGTCATTTCAAAAATGGAATTTACTTTCTTTAAAATATTTACTGACTTTTCCAACATTTCATTTGATCATAATAACAGTGTTATGTATTAATAATGAGTTATTTTTAGTTTTGAAAGAGACTTTGGAAAACATCATTTATACTTATCAATATATTTACCTTCGTTAGGATTACCAATATTTGATCCTGTCAAATGCGAAACAATGCAATTTAAGAATACAATGTATGCAGAATATGATAATAATGAACTGACAATGAAAATTTTGTTTTATCCAGGGAAGTATAAATAATTAAAAAAAACTTTATGATCCATTCTGTGTTCAGTTTGAATGGTTACTTGTGTTTCTGAGGTGAAACTGGCGATTAACTATGATTATAACTAGAACAGACTGTGAGAAAATTCTTCCCAACAGAAAAGTTCTGTCAGATTTTGCCATATCCAAATACAGCGATGAACTCTGCGGTTTTTTTTCCGAAAATTATAAGCTAACACTTCATTTTAGAGATGAAATCAGTGGTGTACTCGGAAGGCAAACGTTTTTCTTCAAGACTATTCCCGAGAAAATGTCCTGTCATAAGGAATACACTAAAAACATGGGAGTGTTTAGAAAAGAAATTTTAATGTACAAGGATATACTCAACGAATTATCCAAATTAATGAGCAAGCAGTTTGCACCTAACTACTTCTATTCAATTACTGACAAGTTCTTAGTACTGGAAGATATGCGTTTGAAGGGTTATAAGGTGAGATACCACTCCTTTCTCTGTTCATAAGGAACTAACCAACACATTAAATGTTTTTTTCTATAGCTGTTGAAAAAAGTGTCTATTATGTGATCATTTCCTGTCGGGTAAGTAAGCAAAATGATCCATAACTTACATCTTCGAAACAAAGTGATGTGGTGAAGAACAAAAGTTCATCATTTGTTAACCTGAGAGTGACTAGAAACTGAATTATTTGAATGTCATGTGTATGGCATGCTAATTTGTAAGGACTTCGTGGAGTAGAGGTAGAGCTCTGGCTAATAATTCTGGGTTTAATTCTCATTCATTGCACTTTTTATCATTTCATCTTTTGTCGATCTTTTCTGACTTTTAAATGGTCTTGCAGTAACCACGATCGAAATAGCCGTTGCCGTTTTTATGTGGAACTAAAAAAACTCGCTTTGAAAAACCCTTCTCGAGCTGCTAATCGTAGCCCTGCCTAGAGCACATAGAAATGTATTGTGGGTTCTATAACGAAGTGGCGCTGTGGAAATCACGTTTCGCTACATGGTTAAGCAGACAAACTAATGTCAAATATTCTTCCCGTTCTTTTATTCCGTCATAGTGATTGACGTGAAGTGAGAAATGAGGTACCTACCTACAGACAGGAATATTTATCGACAGTTGCGAGGATATTGAATCGATAGGCGCTCTCTGTATACATGTTTGAAGGGACTGATGGAACAAGTGGTAACATTGCCTGGGTTGTGAACTAAAACCGATTCTATGTCTGAAGGATGAAATTTTGAAAGGTTCGTTTCTGTGCCTAGCTTCACATGAAGAACACGTAGTGGTGATTTATTCAGAAATTTTGATAATCACCAAGCAGGAAACATTCTAACTTTGAAAGTACAATATGAATGTTTATATAATAGTGCATTGCGTGGTCATTTTCAACATTGGTTGATTTTTACTAATTATTGAATCGGCAGGATTTTTACAATAGTTTTAACTTTCTTTTTTTTATGAGTTCTGTCAAACAAATTGAGACAAATTTGAGCAGATTAGGACAAATTCAAGCCGATTAAAATTCAGGCAAATTGAAAAATTCAAGGCAAAATCAAGCTTGTGGTCGACGTTGTAATTTGGGACGAATCAAAATCAAGATTGTAGTTGGAGTATTGAAGTAATTAAGCTTGTAGTTTCTTTTTACTCCTCTGTTAGCATATCAGAGGAGTAAAAAGAAAAAAATCGTTGGTGGTTCTTAGCGACAGGATCACGTACAGGTGTTGTGGGTTTAATATATTATACCTTGGGGTAAGCCTCTACATTTTGTTACTGATGACATTGATAAATATTCCTATGGAACAAACGGATGTAGAGTATAGAAACTTCAATAATTTTTTTATTATCCCTGACTCTCTAATATTTTTTGATTTCATTTAAACAAACAGGTGAACTTTATTTATTATTTCATTGGATTGTTTTATTGGGTTGTTTCTTATGTAAGTGCAATGAGTTAATCTATAGTAACAAGAATTGAAAAAGAAGTACAATATTTCTGTAGATGGCGTCCAAAAGAGACCGGTTGATTTGAAGACTTATTTCAATACTTTCAATTGAATTCCTATAATAACTCTAATAGTCATACTGCGTTTATGCGTCATAATGTGTTACTTCGAAACAGTTAACGGGGAGTAATTATCAGAAATATCAGAAAATAATTCTGTTGATAAGTTTGATCGTTGCATCTAACAGGACATTATTATTAGGTTTTGCAGGATAAATCTCTGATTAGTTGATAGTCAAGATTATTTGAGTATCTTTCTTGTGAAGTGGAAATTAAGGAAAGCTAGCTGGTTGCATTGAGGATCATTTTGATTTCCCACTGTCCCACAATTCAAGTCTCCATCGTAGTTAACAACATACTTTGGAAAATGAAAAAACAATTCCTGTGTTTTTTTACCACTTGTATTTGTAACTAACGTTACTGCAGTTGTGTGCTAGAAGGACATCCCCAAACTGATAAAATAAACTTGAATGATTAGCAATGTTAACCCATATATAACTCTTACCTGAACTGAGAACCTGAATTTTATTTTCCTGTGACAATGTGGGTACGCTAATCTGAAAACCGGCGAACAGACTAGGTCGACTGGTTATTCAGCAGGTTACACCCGCAATGCACAAAACGGTATGCTGAACATGAAAGGCCCTTCAGACTAGATGAAAATGATTTGATGTTTTCAAACCATTCCTTGGAATTCAACCACAATATCCCGTATCTAAACTATACGGAAATTTTGCACCATGCAAACAAGGGTTGGAAATTCAGTTATTTGGAATCCTTGGAAATTCATTGGAAATTCATCATTGTATATGTAACCTGCTAAATGACCAAATCAACCTAGTCTGTTCGCCGGTTTTCAGATTAGCGCACCCACATTGTCACAGGTGAACATAATTCAGGTACTAAGTTAAGTTAAGGACCGGCTATTATTACCTACAGTTGTATAGATATTAAAGGGGTAACAGTCAATTATTTCAGTTCATTGTATTCGTTTCAAAATTTCCTTATAGGACGAAACTGCAGTAACGTTTGTTAAGAATACAAGTGGTGAAAAACAAAGGAAGTTTTATTTCTCATTCTTCATGAGGATCTCCTATCACGTAGTTAACGGTTACACCCATCAATTATAACACTTTTTGTTGAAAAAAAGTTTAAAACTCCTCTCCTGTAAAGTTATGAAAATGGACATAGTGTTGTATCCCTCCGAGGTACAGAAATATATTCTCACAAGTTCCGGTTTTGACCAGTGATCAGGATAGTTGACTTCAAAAAATATATTCTCACAAGTTCCAGTTTTGACCAGTGATCAGATGGCTGGTTTGGCGAATGATACCCAAAATTGACTTTGTAACGGACCACTTCAGGCAGCCTCGTTTTTCATTTACATTCGTAGATTGAGTATTCTGTCGATCCCATAAATGGCGTTTCTGTTACGAGAGATAGTATTTAAATTTACTATTTGTAGTTTCATTGAAAGCATTATGTTGAGCTCACTGGTAGATTTTTTTAAACATACATACCATATGCTAATAATTTTTATTAGAAAAAATAGTGAAACGTTTGAGTACCGCCTACGTAAAATATTGAAATCCACAGAAATTCGAATATATAATGGCACCAGAAAAATATGCGTGGCATATGATGCTGATATTGTGTTGTGCTATGTGTACTGTTGTGTTTTGTAGTACTGTTAGTATGCTTGTTTTTATATATGTGATTGAATCGTGTTTCGCTATGCAATAGCTTGTTCAGGTGTGTCTTAGTGAACACACGCCTGAACAAGCTCTTGTATTGGAAGACACGTTTTGCATTTTTGTAAAACTATTCAGGAGAACAGTTAGTGGATATGTTTTTAACACTCAATAGTAAAGTCTGGACCTTAAATTGAAAGGGGGATATTTTCAGGAAATATTAGTTTTCGGGAAAGGAAGGTTTTCATCTTCTCTGCGGAATTTTCCCAAGATTCTTGTATGAAGGTTTCGAAAAAAAAGTCAGAAACCTTTCTTTCCGAAAAACTCCAGAACTATTTTGTGAAAAGTAAATCAAGCATCTTATTTCTTTCCAGAATTGCAAAACGGAGTATTTGGATTTCGATAAAATGAAAGCCGCTTTAGGAGCCATTGCCCGACTGCATGCCGCTTCGATAGTTTTTGAGGAACAAAGGAGTATTAACGGCCCTTTCAGGATAAATGAACAGTTTCCAGAAGCTTTGAGTGAAGCGACTTTTTCTTTCGATGAGACTAAAGTCAGATATTTCTGGTGTCAAATCGGCATCAGATGTTTGGAGGAAATAAGTGTTTATTTCAGTAGGAACGTCCGCATTGCCAGTAAGCTGAGGAAATATTTTTTTTCTGAAGACGGTTTCAAAAAATTCCTGCTTCCTTCTGAGAAGTACAGGAACGTTATTTGTCACGATGACCTGTGGTGTAATAATTTCATATTCGATGACAAAAATGACTGCATTCTTGTTGATTTTCAGCTGACAAGATATACTCCTCCCGTTTGTGATGTCCTGTTGGCCCTTCATATTAATTTGGATAGTGAAGTTTTAGCTCAGAACATGAACAAGTTTTTGGATTGCTATTATGATTTTCTCAGCTATGAACTTTCTTTGAATAACATATCAGCTAGCAAAGTTATCCCCAAAAGTGAATTTTTCGCCAGTGCGGAAGACTTCAAATTACCGATACTGATCGAGTGCGGATTGTATGGTACCAATGTTTTTCTACCAGAACACCTTTCACTTGAAATCGTTTCTTGTGCAGAAACATTCAATCGGTTTTATATGACTGATAGAGCGTTTTATATTCTGAAAGAATTTCATTGTAACGCAAAATTCAGAAAGCGGTATAGTCAAGTTTTAACGCCGTTGTTTGAAATTTTGGAGAAAATGCTATGAAAAAATTATTTCAATTTCATATATATAAATAAAANAAGGAATACACTAAAAACATGGGAGTGTTTAGAAAAGAAATTTTAATGTACAAGGATATACTCAACGAATTATCCAAATTGATGAGCAAGCAGTTTGCACCTAACTACTTCTATTCAATTACTGACAAGTTCTTAGTACTGGAAGATATGCGTTTGAAGGGTTATAAGGTGAGATACCACTCGTCAGTGTTTCTGTTTCGTAGGTTATTTTGCAATAAATGATACCTTTCTTTGTTCATAAGGAACTAACCAACACATTAAATGTTTTTTTCTATAGCTGTTGAAAAAAGTGTCTATTATGTGATCGTTTCCTTTCGGGTAAGTAGGCAAAATGATCCATAACTTACATCTTCGAAACAAAGTGATGTGGTGAAGAACAAAAGTTCATCATTTGTTAACCTGGTAGAGGTAGAGCTCTGGCTAATAATTCTGGGTTTAATTCTCATTCATTGCACTTTTTATCATTTCATCTTAATCAATTTTCAAACTATTCTAAATTGGATTGCATAACAAAAATGGAAAATATTTTTGTATATTTTCCTGGATTGCCTGCAGTTATGACATTTACTGATATTACTTTCATTTGGAGTATCCTTCATAAATAAATCTTGTTTAAAAAAATTCCTGATATGTCAAAGAAAAAGTATAGTATTCTACTCGCTCGAATGATTCATGATACTTGGCTTCCTCTCATCTATAAACTTCATTATGAGTTACAGTAGAATGTTTCACAAGTTGAATAATGTATACTATTATCACATTTGTTGAGTTGGAGTATTCAAAGTTGTACATGAACGAATCTCGATACTTTCACTTCCTCTCACTACTTAGAAAGTTCAAACCGCAATTCTCTTTTGTTGAAACATTTAATTTTTCCACTTTTCTTTTAATACTGTTTGGAAAGCTATCTGTACAGGAATAAAACCTTTTTTTCAATGTTGAATGCAGATTGTAACATATCAGTTATTCAAATTTCTATTTACTCTTTTCACAGATCTAGGATTCCTCTGAGCAGTCTGCCGCAGTACCGCGTAAATCATAGCCAACATTCTGACAGATAATTAAATTCCTTTTTGTTTGGTTATTTTATTCATTTTATGAGGTTCGTTCTGGTTCTACGAAATTCAGGTTCTAGAACGTCGGGATCATGCGCAGTTGATATAGAGCGTTATGGTTTATTGAAGATAAGTTCGGATTGATGAATCCTCTGTTCTGGTTCCGACTGCGAAATGATCCTAAACTGTCTTGAACCGTCCCGAATCGTTCTTGCTCTAGAGGCTGAAATGTTGAGAACTGTTCCCGTTGCTCATGCGCACTCATGTGGTAATTTGTTTGGCATATTTTCTAGGATGTTTTTTATTTATTTGATTCAAATAATTGATGATTGAGGTAAGATAACATTTGAACTGACTATAAGGATACGCTACGTAACAAAATGGACATGACATGTATTTTCTTGTCTTTATCTCTTCATATATACGATAGGTGGCACAATAGTCTCCTCAAAATGTATTCTGGTTTAACCAAGTGTCCGACTATTTCGGACTGTTTGAGTTTTTTGCTTGTACGCATCATGTCTTGCGCAGTTTCCAAACAGTTTCGGTTGTTAGAACCAGAACAAACCTATGATGGTTGTAATCGATCGTATGGTATCTCAGGGTTGTAGTGGATCAAACCTGGCTCTTTGTAGTGAAAAGCAGAAATGTGGTAGACTGTTTATTCTCAGATGACTTGACAAAACTAAAATAGTGCACGTTTAGATTTACACTTGAATTTTATATCCTTACCTACCTAAAATAGTGCAGGCACCAACCAAATATCAAAAGGATAATATTATGAGTTTTATTCAACCAAAAGCACGAAAACAGTTTCATCAATGTGTCGATCTTTTCTGACTTTTAAATGGCCTTTGCAGTAACCACGATCGAAATAGCCGTTGCCGTTTTTATGTGGAACTAAAAAAACTCGCCTTGAAAAACCTTTCTCGAGCTGCTAATCGTAGCCCTGCCTAGAGCACATAGAAATGTATTGTGGGTTCTATAACGAAGTGGCGCTGTGGAAATCACGTTTCGCTACATCTGTCCCCCCTCAAGATGAATACTTTCTATCGTAAAGTGTTCACAGTTTGGATTGGCGAATGATAAAGTTTTAGGTGACTGGCGTGAAACATGCCACGCTCAAGATCTTGGTCCGGCTGGCAAAGGATATAAGTATCATTTGCAATTTTTTGTTTG